GAGCCGACGAGTTCTGACTTCGGCAATAAATAATGAGGCGAGCTGAGGCGAGTTTAGCCGACGTGCTAAAATGAAAGAAATGATATAGGTTTCATCACCTCAGGATGCTGAGGTAATAGAACCTAGGGGGCAGTTGTGGGGACATAATTTTTGAATGACAACACGTGGCCGAGGTGTCACCGAAGTGCCAGCCGAGGTGCCACGTGTCCTGGTCATAACGCCGAGATCATCTAAGCTAGGCCGAGGTTATTTACGAAGAAACCGGAATCCGAGATAAGCGGATAAGGGACAAGAGTCCTAGAATGGGAGAAGACTTCAGTTTGGATTAAGATAAAACTCTTAGAGAGTTTATCCCAAACCTACTGGGAGTCCAAGATTAGCAGTAATCCTGAGTCCATTGAAGTTAGGCTTCTATTGGGACTAGGATTGTGTTGGCTGTAAAAGGGAGGCACCCCCATGGGTCTAAGGTATGTCTTTTATGCTTTGTCTAGTGAATTAAACACTATTGATTATCTTTGAGAGATATTTTACTGACTTGATCGTCGGAGTGCCCCTAGGTGGACGAACCACCGCCGAAATCTCTTCTTTCTGCTGCAGGTTGTTCGGGGTTAATCCATTCTGCCAGTGTTCTCTAGCTGAGTGCTTGATTGGCACTGTGGTCGGAAATTGACACACACAAATCCTTGTAGTCACAACAAATACATAATCTTTCAATGCACATAATGTATAATACATACAATCAGAGTAATATCACATGAAAAATCCCAAGACCAAACACATGTAATTAAACCTTATACTAGATTTTGCTTAAAAATTGGACCAAAATAAATTCCATAAGCCCAACACATAGTGTATTTATACTCTTATTTCACATGAATTTTCAATGCATAAATAATTACCTTAATGCATGTAATATAATATTACATTATTTTAGATAACATGCCAATGAATCTGAAAAATTATAAAAACTAAAAGAACATGTTATAATTCACTGTATGAGATTCAACTGAATTTGTTTACTATTTAAACATGCAACGATAATAAACAAAACATCCTTAATAGCTTTTCTTTAATAGTGATATTCAAAAGTTATGCAATATAAATTACTCATTCTGATTCTACAATGATTCTGAATTGTTAAATTTTATGGTGTGAATTAATATACAAATATCACATGTATAGAATAGGCTTGATTCGATTCAAGAAATTGATAATAGTTTGATGTAAGAATTTGAAATAAAAACTAAACAACATAACAGAAAGTTGGCTCTGATACCAATTGTGAGAATTAAAATAATTTTAATTCAAAAAGAAGAATACCTCATTCCATGATGTTCAAGTCTTTGAATCTTTATCCTTTAATGATCAAATTTTGAATGTATAAAAAACCCACTTATAGAACACTTTTACAAAACCATATGGGAAAAGTGAAAGGGATAGAGTATCAAGCATATTCTATTCACAAAACAACGTCTGTGTTTGATGGCTATCACAAGCATATATATATATATATAGGCTTGGACCCATATCCAAGTGTAACTCCTTATAACTTCCCACCATTAGGGAAGTTGTAAAGTCCCATAAAACCACCATATGGGATAGTGAACAAATATTAGTTACCCATTAGTCATTAAACTAATTAAATATATATAATAAATATATATAATATAAATAAATAAATAAATAAAACAAACATGTGGCATATGGGCCACTTATGGATATTCTTACAATATAGACTAATGTAAACTTGCTTGGCACAAAATTCCAAGGCTCGGATAACCAAATAGCATGCCATAAAAAAGATACAAAAACTTTGAGAAAGATGCAATCTCCATATAAGAAGAACAAGGAAAATAAATTTAAAAAATTGCATGCCATCAAAAACTTTTGACTGATAGTGGTATAGTAAGGTGTCAATGTGTGTGGGGCTATATGTGTGCATGTGTGTGTCTCAAATCAGAAATTGGAGGCTTCTCCATACTTAAATGCTTTTGGTAGGTTGGTATTATTTTTAGAGAGAAAAACATTCAAAGTGAGAAAATAAGAAACCCACCACCACATGTACACTTAAACTAGTAGACACCATAATTGAAAGCTTGTTGGAATTTGAATATATATAACCATCTATATTTGGTTGGTGATAGCAAATTGTATGTATATAACCATTGTTGCTGCAATTGTGAATGCTAAAATGTTTGGTGATTCTATTTGGTTTAGTTTTCATATTAAGTTCACTGGTTGTAATTGAATTTATTGACTTGGTACTCTCACCATCATATAATAAGAAGAAGATTACATACCAAAAACATCCAGATCTAGATAAAAATACATATCTTTGTCTCTGCAGCACAACGATGATGGTGACGAAGCGGGGAGCTGGTGTAAGCGTTGCACATCTGGTGATTTCCTTTCTTAATAGGTCACAGTGAGAGCAATAGCTGATGATTTCGTTCAAGTAGGACACACTGAATAGGAAATTTATAGGGCACACTATTGGTCCTTGCACTTAGTTCCCATTAAGTCATATTGAAAATAAATTATAGTAAAATAGTTATTAAAAATAATTTTTTGTGACAATGTTTTACATATGTCTCTAGAAATTGATAATTAGTGACTTTTTCTTGTTACGATTTTTATAAATTGTTGCTAAAATTTACAATTAGTGACATTTTTCTATGACGATTTTTTTAAACTGTTACTTAAAGTTAAAAATTAGTGACTTTTTTATGACGATTTTTTTAAACTATCACTAAAACTTATAATCAGTGACATTTTTTATGACAAAATTTTTAAACTATTGTTGAAATTTTTTTAATAGTGTTCGATGAAAACTGTTATTAGTTATCATATGACTTACTAAATAATAAGTTCACTTATTAAAACTTACATGTAAGTCCTCCAAATCTCTAAGAGGGAAAGATGGTGGCCTCCTGTTGGTTGGCAGATTGGTTGGGAGATGAAACAGGTTGCTACAACCACGTAGACAGGACAGTGAGACCAACTCATCTTTTCACAAAAGAGAGTTTCTTTTCTAGCACATGGGATTGACCTTCAATCCTCAAATGGTGCGAACAAGTACCATCCGAAGCATAGCAGCAGGGCAAATAAGAGAATTTGATGTGTTAGATTCAAAACACCTACTTGTTTCCATTCTTGTATATATAGGTTATAGATTAGTGATTTTTTATTTATTTATTGTAAATGTTCATACTTTCAAAATGGAATATAAACATAAATTTAAAAAGTGTTTCCTTTTAAAATCAGGCAACGAATTAGATTTTGATTACAATGTCAAAACAAAACATACGTTTAAAAGGTTTTCCTCTTAAAATCAAGTAGTGGATTTAATTTTGATTACAATGTCAAAACAAATGATACACTTGAAAGGGTTTTTCTTGCATCATTTTTCACTTGTACAATACTTAATGACTTACAATATGAACAAAATCTGACGGGCATACAAGTTATCAATATAAAATTTATATTATTAATATAGTGCTCATATATGAGATAGTAAACCAAAAAAATGTAATAAAATGTAGTTATCATAACATTATACCAAGGAATGGTGTGTAATTTGCAACAAATCCGTGATGATGGAACTCTCTTTTCTTGGTGTAACAAGTGCAAGGAAGAGGCCATAGTGAAATATAAGTTAGACAGAGGCTTCGCTAACATAGCTTGGGCCCACTCTTTTTTGCATGCCACGACTAAGTATTTGGTTAGTACAATTTATGATCATATTCCTTTTCTAATACACTGTGTTGGTCAAGTTAATGAGCCCCACCGGCATCATCGACAAAGGACTCTTTTGAGAAAAGCAAAAAAAGTCAAAAGTCAATTTTTAACTTATTTTGAATCACATCATTTTTTTACACGTTTTTTTAAAAAAAAGTAAAAAAAAACTAAAGGCCAATTTTTAGCCAAACTTCCCAAACCAACCCAAAAGCTATATCGTTTTGAAACAATGTGGTTATGTTCGGAAACTTGTGCATTTGTCATATCGAACACTTGGGGCATTAGTGATTCATCAAATCCAACTAAGATTGAGAAAATAGGGACCGCATTATGGAAGTGGAATTGGCATACATCTGGGCATGTCAAATAGCAAATTCGGCAGAAATTAACTGAATTACGATAATTAAAAATTCAAATTCCCATTGATGCCACTTTAGCTCATGAAAATATTTTGAGTCGTGATCTTGGGGAATGGTATGAAAGGGAGGAAACTCTTTGGAGCCAACGGTTGTGGGTTTCCTGGTTGAAAGAATGCGATCGAAACATAACATTTCTTCATGGACAAACATCATAATGTCACAAGAAAAATCGAATTGATGGAGTGGATTATCGGGTTGGTATTTGGCGGACTGATGAGGGTGCACTGGCTCGAATTCTCACTGATTATTTTAAAGATTTATTTATTACTTCTCCATTCCAAGGATATACCGATCACTACAAAAAAAGTTGCTTACGGTGGCGCTCCTATCAAGACGCTTTTTAAAAACGTTGTGATACATTTCAATAGCAGACAGCTTTTCAAAGAGTGATATCACCTAAATTAATAGGATGCCCTTTTGATTGTCTCAATGAGACAAGTCTGTTTAACTTCACAGAGACTTAACCCATATCTATTCAAACGTTTCCAAATGGCTCTGTCTCTCTGTCTCTCTCTCTCTCTCTCACTCTCTCTCTCTTGAAAATGGTTCTCTCTCACTAGCCCTAATTAAGGAGCCGTGGATGTAACCAGCAATAAAGACTTCCTGAAGTTTATAGATCTACAGAGAGATTGATGCTTATAATCTCAACGATTTCTTGTTCAATCTGGATCTCGATTTCGATTTGTGCACTAGGTCTTAGGATTTAATATTTTCCTTCGAGATTTTTTGATTTCCCTTAATCTTTACCGATCTAGGTCTTCGTTTTTCATGGATTCAGGTATCCTATCGCTCGTGATTTGGAGTTGCTGAGTTCACTTGAGATACAGAGCTTGCATGGTAGCAATCTTGTATTTGGTTTACTAGTTTTCATATATGTTCAAATTTATTATTGAAAATTATTGTATTTACATTTGATTAGGGTTTTGATTTTCATTATAGGGCTTGTTATTCATCGAGTCTGATCTAGACTTGCTGTGAGTGAACTTAAGATTCAGAGGTTTTCATCACTACACAATAACGATCTGGATCCATGTTCTATTTAAATAAACTCTTGCTTAGGTTTCGATTTTCATCGGCAATCTAGGTTCTCATCTCTTCCATAAACGATGGCTCGAGCTTGGTGTGGATGATTTGGATCTGATCTAGGGTTATGTTTCTCTCAGGTATGGTTGTTTTATATTTTTCAGTTCTCAGGTATTCGGCTTCAATAGTTTTGATCTACAGTTGTATTTGATTCAAATAGATTTTCTTGTTTGTTCCACAATAGGCAGCTAAGAAATTTTCAATGTTTTTCTCTTACTTTTTCTCTATTCTTCTCTTTATTTGATGATCTCACTACATATGTGTGTTTATTTAGTTTTATATGTTTATCTAAGACATCTTTGAAGAACATTAATCATCATTGGTTTTGTTGTGTTTTCTTAAACAAGGATTAGTGCTTAGATTGACGACCGGTTTTGTGCCAAAGATAAGATGTTTAACAGATTATTAGCAAGATAGATTGTTATTAATTTCAGATATGTTTTTGCTTATGTTCTATGATTGTCTAAGGTTAAGGTGGGATGACAAAAGGAATTTTACTGATTTATACATGGTCATTCACTGATTTGCTTGTGTAATACAAGTGGCATCTACTGAAATATGCAGAGTTGAAGATGGACCTGAATAGAACAGAGAGGCATATACTGAAGGAGATGGGTTTCATTTGCCATGTTGAACATCCTCATAAATTTATATCAAACTATCTTGCAGCCCTTGAGGCATCCCTAGAATAAAACCGAGAGGCATATAGTGAAGGAGATGGGTTTCATTTGCCATGTTGAACATCCTTATAAATTTATATCAAACTATCTTGTAGCCCTTGAGACATCCCCAGAACTGAGACAAGAAGCTTGGAATCTTGCAAATGACAGGTAGCTCTAAATTAATAATATAATTTTTTTTGTAGCTATTTCAGTGTCATTTAATCTGGTAGCTTTTAAGGTAGAACTTAAACTAAACCCCATTAAATTTGTGAAAATAATGCCAAATGATAGGTTTGTACTTAGGCTGATGCTCCCAACTACCATGCTTAGTGGTCAATTTTTTACAATGTGTAATTTGATATGCTTATTTATTCGCCTCTATCTATGTAGTTTTGTTTTCATTTTGAACCCCAACTTTGTATAAAAAAACACTTTTTATCTGCTTGTTGACATACTATCACTTTTTTAGAGTAAATTATGTTAATTAATTTGTTTTCCCATTGAGGTTCTTGGACAGATAGAGACACATGATTATTGATAGGGGCTGGTTGGTTGGTTAAAACTACAAGGAGTGAAAGCTTATTGGCTGTTTTTTTTTTATATTTTTATTTATTTAATAGATTGTATACATTCTAACTCAAATCTGACTTCTCTCTTCTGTGCAATTGGGTTTTGTTAATTACAATTCTTCCAACATTTCTCATGTTCAATACATAAGACAATCTTGCTTCTAATCTTTCAAAAAAAAATTGTTCGAGAAGAGGGAAGGAGTTGAACTAGCAAGAGTAGCAGGATAGACAAGCAATTTTGGACCGTTACTGAATGGATTATTTCAGACCTACATTCTCAATTATTTCGTATGATAAGAAGCTTCTGGTAAATGAATGGCACCAACAAAACCATTTATTGATTTGTCCATTTTCATCTTGTACCCTATGATGTTTACCAATCCATGGCTGTAACTGGCAAATTTGGCTAAGGCCAAGTTTGGCAAGTTGAAAAACAGTCAAAAAGGTACTCAAAAAGTTAAAAAGTTATCACTATTCATTAAAAGTCAAAAATTACGTCTGCACAACTCCCAATCCTAATTTTCCCCTACATACTAATTCATACAATTTTTTAATGCACATTTTTTCATAAAAAGTCAAAAAGTTAACCCAAACATCCATATTTTTTTCCTCAATTTTTTAGTCTAAAAAGACAAAAAATGCACTTATTTAGGACACCCCGAACAACTCCTAATTTATATGATGACTCAATTGCTTGCACTGTTATTCATATAAGCTTTGTTTATGTTGCTGAAGAAATTATTTATAATCGGTATTTCTGATATGTTCTAGAGTTTCTTGGCCTCTTGGACCTTTTCCTAGCTTTATTTTGTGATTTTTTTGGTTGGATTTTGATTTTTGGTATTGTCATGTGTCATCCCCTTCCAATCAACTCTAAGCTCAACATTGAATGTTGGCTTTTACTTGTTGCTCAGTAAATAACATCACTTATTGATGCATGCAGCTAAGGTTCCTCTTGCTGCAAATGAAAAGTTTTATATAAGGAAAATTGTTGGTATGCAGTTAATTTGCATTGCTCTGGTTGGAGAATTTTGTGGTAATCCTTTGGTTCTCACTTCGAGCTAGCTTTCAAAACTACACTAATTCATTTTCAAAATAACATCAGTCAACATTCGTTTTCTTTTTTCACTTGCTTCAGCACTTGTTGAATTGAACACTAATATAACATTTAATATTTACTATTCATCTTTGACTATATAACACTGCTTCATTTATTGTTTTGTCAGTTACTTTATGACTTAATTCCACAATGCTATTACTTATTCTAGCTGGCACTTACATATATTGAAGATACACAATTCATATTACACAATTCATGGATGTATACATATCAAAGTGATGAATATAGAAAATAATTTTAATAGTGAAATGTACAGTTCATATATTATGCACCAACACTAAGATTTCAAAATATTAGTTCTTCTTTGTAGTTCATTGAACATTATTCTGATTTTTATTTCTGATCTCTTTGACTCTTTTAAGTGTTCCTCAATAATTTATAGACATTGGTACAAACACCACCAGAATTTATGACAGCTGGTTGGGAGCAGATCTAAAGCATTGAAGTGTTACCAAAATGTGGATGGGCAGCCCATAGTAATGCAGACAAGTAATTACACAGTGATCATGTTTAATAATTAGGATTTCGCTGATTATGTAATGTGTCAATAATAATGTAATAGCTAGATAAATAAATGATAGGACACTATGTGTGATAAATAAAGAAAGAGGGTGATGGTGATTGTAGTTGCAGACTAGACTAGACTATATACACAAGAACTTATGTGTGCATATCTATCTTATCTGTAGATATGTGATGATGATACTGGACATCTATAATATAGATATGCATTGGTAAAAATGTTGTGAAAATCACATGTTTTGTTTTGTTTTGTTTTGTTTTGTTTTTTTTTCCAATATCCATGGTGGTTTGTTAGATTCCTTTCGTGTATTCACATTTCTTCCTCGTAACTGAAAAGGTAAAGTTTTCTCCATAACATACATGGTTTAGCAGTCTTTTTTTATCATTAATGATGATTCTAGATGGTATGCTCTGTTTTTCTTTTTTATCTTTTCTAAATTTTATTTTTTTGAATAAAATTTTGGTATGCTAATGATGAACCCATTGGCAATGTGCAGAATGAATAATGGGAGATTAAGCCAATGGTTACAAATACTAGTTTGTGTAGTGATCTTGCTGAAAATAGAAGGATTCAATGGCCCTGTTTGTTAGGGCTTATTTCCAGCTTATTTCAGCTTTTAGCTTAATTTAAGCTATTTTGATGTGTTTGGTTCAGCTTAACAATACAGCTTATATCTTTTTGTAAGTCAAAAATCAACTTATTCTTTGATTGGGGGAGGAGAAGCTTAATTTATAAGTAAAAAATCAGCTTAGGTTCACAGTTATAAGCTATAAGCTGTTAAACTATAAGCTATAATCACTTTCCCACAGCTCTACCAAACGGGGCCAATGTTGGAATAACTTATGTTGAGAATGCTGTTGCAAAAGGAGCAGGTAAATTTTTTTTGTTTTGCACTAAAATAATTAAATTGACTTATTTTATTTTATTTCTTTCTTTCCTTTTTTAACAATATTCATCGTATTGTTCTTCTTCAATTTTGATATTTCGTGTAGTTTGTTTGGATGGGAGTCCACCGGCATACCATCTTGATAAGGGATTTGGAGCGGAAATTAACAGTTGGTTGGTTCATATTGAGGTTGGTCCTTTTACAGTATATAATAAATTTCATGGTTACAGTATATACTATAGAATTGTCTTTTGGGTTTTGTGCTATACTTGGTGGTACAACGCCAAAATTTGGCACACCATTGTCGTGTTTTTTTTTTTTTTTAAAATTTTGATTTTTTTTTTTTTTTTTTTTTTTCAATCGGTGGTATGATGCTAAATTTAGCTTTGACACATATTCGAGTTGCTATGAGGTCTAAATCATGAAAGTTGATGTTGAAAGTTTAGGGCAACTCTTTAAAAGCATTAGGTTTGTTAAATCGAATACTAAATACATTTATTGGTAGCCTAGTTTAACTGAGAAGTGAAAATACATTCCACATGATTCTTATGACTTTGCTTGTTCATTTACCTTATGATTGAAATATCTTGCCATCCTCAGGGGTACACTGCACTAGCTGTAAATATAAAAAATGCTTGAGACCCCCAAACTTTGTGACCCCCATAACCCCCAATTGATTGGTGACTACTTATTATGTTTTTTGTGAATCTAGCGTGTTTTATACATTTACATCAAAAGCAATTCAGTCACTTATCTACCAAAACTTTGATTCAGTATATTGCCAATTCTAACTTGTTTACAAGATTCAATGTCTCATGGTATAGAAGTATTTTGTGTGAAAGTTCACCCCTTTGCTTGGATGGAAGTTCTGTTGTCATCAAACTTCAAGATATGATCACTCAGTCTTATAGCCTTTGCATGGATTGAAACTTTATAACCTGTCTCAGCAGCTATTGGTTCTTATTAAACCAAGTATGAACAACAGGGTTCTTTATGTAAGAGGATACTATTTTTTTTTTTTTAAAAAAAAGAAAAAACTTCAAGATATGATAATCTGTTTCTCCTCTGTAGATCCTTGCATTTATTAACTTCTGGGATATTGTGCATATTTTTCATATGATTTTTTATATGTCCTGCTGTGCGCATAAGGTTTATTGCAGTAATATTGACATGCTTGTTTTCAGACTTATAATGATTTTACATTTTTACTTGGAACATTGTGTTAATAGCTATGTTACATGGACTTGAGTATGAGTGTCGGGTGCGGGTGTGTATCTAAGCATCAAACTTTTATAAATTGTACTTTTTGATTTTTTCTTCTCATGGTTGCTGATGCTTTTGCTCTATGTTATATTAATGGCTGTTTGATGAAACCAAACTTTCAAAGTACACATATTGTGAATACAATGTATAAATAAAACAGTTTTCATTGTAAATGCACTTGGAAATTTCATAATTTCTTATCTTTCTAGCCTTCTTGACATGGCATGCAAGAGTGTGTAGATTTTCCAACCATTAAAGTATATTGAAGTTGTGTAAATGGAATTGGATTGATTAAGGTATATAATCATCATTTTGATGAAGATGATAGATGACTTGATGAAGCTGAAGAGAGCAGTGGATGAAATTATTTACAGAGAATTTGGACAGCACACTGAATATTATTATTATTATTATTATTATTATTATTATTATTATTATTATTATTATTATTATTATTATTATTATTATTATTATTATTATTATTTTGTATTGTCATATTGTGTTTTAAGGGGTTTTATTTATTTATTTATTTTATGAAAAATTGAAAAATGAATGCTCATTCACATTATGGTATATATTTTGAGAATGGTGATGGATGATATAAGTTTGGTTTGAACAAAAGTCAAAAGATCATTAATTATGATTTGTCTTTTTTTTTCG